TCTATCTATCTATCTATCTCAGACTGTTCATTTATCTATCTATCTATCTATCTATCTATCTATCTATCTATCTATCTATCTCAGACTGTTCATTTATCTATCTATTTATCTATCTATCTATCTATCTATCTATCTATCTCAGACTGTTCATTTATCTATCTATCTATCTATCTATCTATCTATCTCAGACTGTTCATTTATCTATCTATTTATCTATCTATCTATCTATCTATCTATCTATCTATCTTCATCTATCTATTTATCTATCTATCTATCTATCTCAGACTGTTCATTTATCTATCTATCTATCTATCTATCTATCTATCTATCTCAGACTTTTCATTTATCTATCTATTTATCTATCTCAGACTGTTCATTTATCTATCTATCTATCTATCTATCTATCTCAGACTTTTCATTTATCTATCTATTTATCTATCTATCTATCTTTCTATCTATCTATCTATCTATCTATTCATCTATCTATCTTTTATCTATCTATCTATCTATCTATCTATCTCTATCTGTTCATTTATCTATCTATTTATCTATCTATCTATCTATCTATCTCAGACTGTTCATTTATCTATCTATCTATCTATCTGTTGTTTATCTATCTATCTATCATCTATCTATCTATCTATCTATCTATCTATCTATCTCAGATGTTCATTTATCTATCTATCTATCTATCTATCTATTTATGTAAACTATTTATCTATATATCTATCTATCTATTTATCTATCTATCTATCTATCTCATATGTTCATTCATCTATCTATTTATTCTATTATCTATCTATCTATCTATCTATCTATCTATCTATTTATATATCATACTGTTCATTTATCTATCTATCTATCTATCTATCTCAGACTGTTCATTTATCTATCTATTTATCTATCTATCTATCTATCTATCTATCTCAGACTGTTCATTTATCTATCTATCTATCTATCTCAGACTGTTCATTTATCTATCTATTTATCTATCTATCTATCTATCTTGTTCATTATCTCTATCTATTTTATCTATCTATCTATCTATCAGATGTTCATTTATCTATCTATCTATCTATCTATCTATCTATCTATCTCAGACTGTTCATTTATTTATCTATCTATCTATCTCATATCTCAGACATTTATCTATTATCTATCTATCTATCTATCTATATCTCATCTGTTCATTTATCTATCTATCTATTCATTTATCTATCTATCTATCTATCTATCTCAGACTGTTCATTTATCTATCTATTTATCTATCTATCTATCTATCTATCTATCTTCTGTTCATTTATTTATCTATCTATTTATCTATCTATCTATCTATCTCAGACTGTTCATTTATCTATCTATCTATCTATCTATCTATCTATCTATCTATCTATCTATCTATCTATCTATCTATCTTTTCATCTATCTATCTATCTCATCTATCTTTATCTATCTATCTATCTATCTATCATCTATCTATGACTGTTCATTTATCTATCTATCTATCTATCTATCTCAGACTGTTCATTTATCTATCTATCTATCTATCTATCTATCTCAGACTGTTCATTTATCTATCTATCTATCTATCTATCTATCTATCTATCTCAGACTGTTCATTTATCTATCTATTTATCTATCTATCTATCTATCTATCTCAGACTGTTCATTTATCTATCTATCTATCTATCTATCTATCTATCTATCTATCTATCTCAGACTGTTCATTTATCTATCTATCTATCTATCTATCTATCTATCTATCTATCTATCTCAGACTGTTCATTTATCTATCTATTTATCTATTCATTCATATCTATTTATGTATCTATCTATCTATCTATCTATCTATCTATCTATCTGAGTCTGTTCATATCTATCTATCTATCTATCAAGTCTGTTCATTATCTATCTATCTATCTATCTATCTTTTATTAGCCCATTTTTGTATCCTAACGCTAATTTATTTCTATCTTTATTCTCTAACCCTGTATATATATATATATATATATATATATATATATATATATATGCCGTTTTTATTTCTGTTGCCATATCCGGACATGTGTAAAAATTTTTTATCCTCAGTGTTAAATGCGTTCGAATCTATCTCTAAATTTCTCTCTCTCTCTCTCTCTCTCTCTCTCTCTCTCAAATTTTCTATATATATCTATAAGTGTTGAAGTAAAACTAAATTCGTTTTTTTTTTTATATGTTACTATGTTTACGAAATTAAATTTACAAAAATAATAATATTTGTTGATCAGTCTATCTGAGTCTGTTTATGTCTGTCTATTTGAGTCTGTTTATATTTAACTATCTGAGTAAGTTAATATCTATCTATCTATCTATCTATCTATCTATCTATCTATCTATCTATCTATATTCATATCTGTCTCAGTTTGTCCACATATATCTATTTATCTATTTATATCAGTCTGTTCATATCTATCTATCTATCTATCTATCTATCTATCTATCTATCTATCTATCTCATTTT